TGTATGTATATATACATATATATATATATATATATATATATATTGATGAGTACCACTAAGAACTGAAAAAAAATAGGGCTTTCGATTGTTGCTGCGGACCTGCGGTAAATTTAGAATGCAATAATTGACTTGGAAAAAATTAAAGCACAATAATGCAGCAGCTTCAAATTAAAGAGACCAGAGATCACCACCGTCTAAATGCAATAAACAAAAAGAACCTCTCGTTGACGATGATCAGGTGATATGAGTAGGTATTATTTTTAAAAGTCAACGTAAACCTAACCATTTCTAATCTCATCAATGTTTTCTCTCGAACATTCATTGAATAAGACAGTTGATTTTCTTTTTTATTTTTTTTTAAAGTAAAATCTTTCCATATTTTGACATTGTGGCAGGATGAAAAACAAAAATATCGGCTCGTTTAATGAGAATGCATCACTCATCAAGATTGAGGGTAGGCTGTTATTGCTGCTAGCCCGCATTAGTATATGATTATGTACAGCTTTCCAAAGCTGATGATAATGAATTTCTACACTAAGAAATGGGTTGCTGTCACAATTTCTACGTCGGTCGGTCACAATTTTATGTCATACTTTTGTATTGCACTCAACTTGGTTTTAGAAAAAAAAAAATAAAAAATTTGTTACTATCATTAATACTAATACTGTAGTCAAATGAATATTAAACCCATTTTTAATAGTAGATAATTAGACATGTGTCCATTTTATTTACGTATTGTCGTGAAGATTGTAACCTTAAAATGTCACAAAAAAGTCTTTTGTGATCGTGAAATGATGCATTGAAAGTATCTCGCCATGAATATTAAATATAAGACCAGTCGTGATAGATTGATCCCACAACAAGATTTCATGTAGCGGATTGTCAAAGTGATCAGTAATCTAAACTATTATTTTCAACTAAAAACGGTCGGCTGGACTAGCTAACGCGAATGGCCGATTCCATACGTAGTAAGCCTGAAGAATTCCAGCAGTCTAGCAAATGAATAGCTACGAAAGAATAGTAATCAATGCAAATACAATTGTTTAGCGAAAATATAAAATACAGTACAAATATCGAAAGTCGAGGAACATAGGAAGTATAATCTAAACATATATTTTCAAGGATATAATGAGTAGAAAAGGTTGTTCTCAAATACATGTGTCAAATATTTTGATTCAACGTTCAAAGTGCAAATAGAATTTGTACCGAAAAAAAAACAATTTGAATCAGGGGCGGAGCTACATACAACCTAGATAGGTCAATTGCCCCAGCTGGAAATTTTTTTTACTAGTTACCCCTTGAAATTTTATTATTTTTCTGAAAAAAATATTGCTATTTGCCCCATCTAGATTGAAACTATTAAGGGGCAAATATGTTAAATTCAAACTTTGGAAAATTTTGGCCAATCATATCTTTGGGGCCTAACTCCACCCTTGATTTGAATAATTAGATCTCAGAGAGCATCTTCTAGGACATGGAGCAGGAATACCTAGGGCTGTTCTTTTGAAGAAAACCATGGTTTTGGTTCGGGTTAAGTTTCGGGTCTTAACCGAATTAATGCGAAATGAACCATTTTGCTTGTGATGATGTCATCAAAAGTGACGATGACGTCATCACGCCGTAGACGGTCACCGGCCGCTGGAAAAAATAAATTTCCGGTAAAGTCGCCGGAATTTTGGCCAGAAGTTGTAACTGACGGTGGCCGCCGGCGGTTTTCAATGGTGGTAGCGGCGGTCAACGACTACATTATTAAAATATAATTATTTACTTTTTGATTTTGGATTTTTTCGGTTCAATTTGGATATTTTTTTGATCCGAACCTATTCGAACCATTCCAACTTTTAAAATCTTCGACCCGAATCGATCCAAATCGAAATTAGTAATTTCGGTTCGATTTCGGGTCGGTTCGGTTCGGATCGTCAGGTCGACCCGAACCGCGGTTCAAAAAGACCAGCCTTAGAAATACCCGGCAAACATCCATAATAAAGTAAAAGGAGTAAACTACATTGAGCATATATATAAAATATGTTAAAGAAAATAAAACAACCGTAAGCTACAGATCTACTTATGGAGAAATTGCGCAGGATAGAATAGGAGATAAATTTACAGGCGCGCACTACACTTTAAAAAAATGAATAAATTTCCGAATAATCCATCTTATTTGATGAGAAACTATGGCAAACAAAACAATACAAATTAATTAAGTCGCCCGTTGTCACCATATTTTTGTCGTGAAATATTGTTATTAGGCACCGATGGTCTATAGCAATTGAATTTTGCTTCAAGTTGCTCTTTTTTTCTTTTTTTTTCTTTTTTTTTTTGCTTTTTTTGAAACGGTGCTTCAAGTTATAATGTACGAGGTAAAGGTGGAGACTCTTTAGAGAGTAAGGTCATTTGATTTAATCCATCAAACATTATGTCAATCCTCACTATATGCAGCATCGGGTAAACCTGTATGCAATTTACCCAACATCTGACAGAAACTAAACATTGTGATATACTGTCTCCGTCACAAAATTATTGTCCAGTTTAGATTTCACTTTTAATATAATTTCCACAATCTGTATTCATACATCTATAACTTGTTCCCCGAAAGAACGGATAAATAGGATCATTTTAAAATTGCCCTCACCCATTAATTATATCGATTATGCCACAGTTACATTACGTCACATGATTTTTTTTTTTTTTTTTTACTGTGATTTGTGTAATGTTCATCCAGAAAAAAAAAACTTGCGAATAAAAAGACTTTTCTCATCGTAGGTACATCCAATTAAATATCCATTGAATCAACCTGTACTTATTTACTAATATCATCTTACACGTAGTACGTAGTAGTAATTTGTGCATATATTTTACAATTCTATGATACGTATTAACATATTAGATTTTAATTCTAAATAGTACAAAGTTGCTTCATAATTCTAAATAATACAAAGTTGCTTCATAATATTGGCATAGGGGATGACCATCCAACCCACTTCAGTAGTGTTGATATTTGAATCCGACCAGGCTGGAATCCAATGTTGGGAAAAACTGAATTCCTGTGAAATCTGAACGAATGGTTGCCATGCGCTTATGGTTGCCATTGCTCCACAATAGTTCCCCGATGATGATGTATAATTAAGCAACTCCATACTAATGAGTTACAAAAAGAAAAGTATGAGAAAACATATATCGTATGGTAAATTATGATACATCTTTCGTCCTATTATAATAATTCAGTTTGTCGTGACATGGAAAATAATTTATTAAAATGACACTGAAAAATATTGGCACAAAAATCTCATACCGCAATCGTGACTAAAGATATTTTTCTAATTAAACCTTAATTAACATTATCCATTCTTTGAGTAATTTCATGTTAACCAATCATTTCTCATTGTGTACTTCATTTCATGGTGTAATAAAGCGTGGAACACTAAAATAGTATCTAAGCACAAGATTGGTCGACGGCATCTTTGGTTATGGAAGTTGCTCCCTTTTCCTTTCCTGTTCTTCTAACAAGTTTTTTTGTTGTTGAAGGTTAGCCTAGGGTCGGCAATTTATACTATCGTACGGTCCATCAAAACAGTATCGGCAATGCACAATATTGCAACAATAGGTTCATCTAAACATCGTTGTATGATGTTTAGGTGTTTTCTGGTGCTCTCGATCTGAAAATTTCGTTGCCCATGAACTAACTTTTTATGCTAAGAATGACGTATTAAATTTTACTATGTGGACAAGTCCACCCCCATTATCAATCGCAGCAAGGCGATTCCTTGCAATAGTAATAATATACTCTCTTCTTACTCAAAAAAAAAAAAATATATCATTATATGAACACGTGATCAGTAAATATCGATAAACCGAAAAAAGGAAAAAAAAAAATCTAACAGTAATAATATATGAATATAAACGTACTAATATAACAATAATAAATCACGAAAATGGAGATAGTGATTTTTATTTTTTATTTTTTGGTTTTTCAAATCCACCTAGCTACGAAATCTCACGTGTAAATAATGTGAGGGAATTGATCTCTGTACTTGTAGGAGACATGATTTATACATGATATGAATAAATCGTATGAATAAGGGTTTACAACGAAATATGAACCGTGCATAGTTGAGAGTATCGGAATTGAATATGTGTTGTCTCATATCTGAGTGCTGGCGAGAAGCCCGACGCTACAGAGGTCTACCGTCCGCTGCTGCAAGTCGGCAGCCGTCACCACTATCAAACTAGCTTTGCCGGTCATTCCCAAAGCTGGACCTCCGGCTCCCTATTACACAGCCGCTTCGTCCGCCAACTCTCAGAAACCGATCCGCCGGTCCTCAATACCCGGTGAGCCGGTACATATCGGTTCGCCTGTCTGGATTACAAACAAACTAAATTGGTTTATACGGTTATTTCATATGTTTGGTTGAGGTTCGGATTCGGATTAATTATATTTTAGTAACTCTTTTTGGAATTAATAGTGTTTAATTTCTTTGTATATCACTCACAGATTTGGATTCTCCATATACCCACTAAACACAGCACTTCAGATCTGTGATCCGAAAGAAGCGAATCACGATGACAGAAAATTTAGCCTGTAATTTTTTTTATTGAATTACTAGAAAAATAGTTCTGAAATGTCCGTAAAATACCAGGTTAGACATAATTTTGTATAGGTACAATTAGGTCTCGTTTGAAAGTATCAGTATATTTACTGATATTGACGGTCTCTTGTACATGGTAAGTCTTAAGCACTGCCTTGAAAAATATTTCTGGTTATTTATAAATTTCCCAGGTACTCGCCTGGTTTAATTAAAAAAAAAAAAAACCTAGTAATATGTTAGGGGAAAGACGCATAAATATAAACCTTGTGTTATAAATATCTCGCTAGTGTAGAGAAATTTATTTCCCTCCAATTCATTAATTCCAATGTTAACAATTCTTTTATATGTTTTGCATTCTTGATACAAAATACGCCACCACTTAAATATGTTTCAAAAAGAATGTAGAGTGGTAGACTATGGACAGTTAGGATTTCTGCCAGGACCTCCATAGTAGAAATAATTTCCCCAATCGCCATTTTCTCCGGCGGTAATATTGTAGCAAGTTGGATTGGAAGCCCAACTAAAGGTATCAGTAGGAGGAGGTATTAAAGTATTGTTATCATTCACAACTAGCAGATTTCTGAAGTAACTTGCTCTCCCTAATCCTGCTTGTGCAAAACTACCACTTCCCATGTCCGTCGCAGTGTGTATTCCGTTGGTGTTGGAATTTATGATTTCTCCACCCCATTCCACCAATGTTGATGTATCATTTAATACCGTAAATATTGCCGTCGGCCAGTACCCAAGAACTGTACCGTTATATTGTAGCCACCACACGTCTTGGTCCTCATCCTGGGAAAAGAAAATGAATAAATAAAAGTTGATTTTGTAGCCGAGCGTGTAGTATACTATCAGTAACAATGATTCATTTTTCTCGTTAAATTATTAGTTACTCGATCAGACAGGACGTGGCTAAAAACATCCATTTGGTCAAACTCTTAAAACCAAATTCGATATTCAAAGCATACCATGAAACATGCATGCAAGCAAAGAAAATTAATGAAGTGATATGGGACCTATGTCAGAGTGTTGATGTATATGAATCCCTGATAATAGTCCCTTGATGTAAAATTTCATGTATTTATCTGTCTCCTATCTCCTTGAAACAGAAAAGAAAAAGAAAAAAAGATTTTTCTACCGAAATTTCAAAAACTCAACTACATTTAAGTAAATTAAAGTGTATGTCGGTGTAATATTTGAACGACTCTGAAATTTTTGTCTTCTTTTCATCCATCTATAAACTGAAAAGATTATTAGTTTGAACGTGATACATCATCATCATCTGATTTCAGTGTAAAAAACTAATTCAATAAAATACCTTCCAAACAAGCAGTATGATTTCCGGATGATTGGTGGTGGTTATGGCACCACCAATGGCCATACTGCTGTCAATCTGTACAAAGCCCGAGCATTGCAAATCAAAGCATCCGGTGTTCTGATAATTATCACTCTGTGACAGTGTTTATTAATAAGATAATCAAAACGGGGCCAAACATTAATGTAAAACGTACTTGATTTTGTCCTATTGATAAGTCGAAAATAATTCTAACTAAGCCTTATAATTAACACAAAAGAAATCGAAAGAACCTCAAAAAATAGAGTTTGTTGTGTTAAAATGAAGATCTCTACAAAGTTTATTTGTAACTTCAACAAGTTTTTTGTATTCTGTTTTGCTGTAACTAATAATTCCTCTAGATTATTTTTGTATGTTTTCCAAAACTTGTGATCGAGGGATGGACTATTATTTCTTTGATGGAACGGAAAAATCAATTTTCATATTTAAAAAAAAAAAGACAAGAGGAAAAGAAATTATTCATGTTCTCTTGAGTTGCTTACAGTCCAATAAATGAAAAGTCTCGTGAGATTATCTCCGTATAGCAACGGGCAAACCTGCAATTAATTTACAAAAATCAAACTATAGAAATTATAGGACAATAACAAAAATTAATCATCATTCTTTCTTTCAATTTAACAATATGTATAGTTCTTTTTCCCTCCCAAAATGGATGAAAAAATCTTTAATTAAATCGAAAATGTCCGTCATTACGAGCCTGGTGGGGTTAGAAATGACTTACAATCCAACCGACTTCAATGGTGTTGGTATTTGAACCCGACCCGCCCGCTACCCAAATTTGTGACAAACTAAATTCTCCCGAACCTTCGACGTATGGTTGCCATACGCTTATGGTTGACATTGCTCCATAGTAGTTGCCCGTTGATGATTGTGTTACTGCATACTAATGAACCCGGAAAACGTCATATTTTTTACTTATACATTTCGACATAAAAATATGACGAGATTGTTACAACTCTATATTGGCTCCATAGTATCAAACACCGTTCTCAGACCGACTCACAATCGGATATCAGGAGCTAACTCATTCAAATTCATGTAACAATTATACTCTTTTGGTCTTAAAAAAAAATTCACACTAATCGTACAAATCACAAAATATAATGTAAACTATTTCTTGTGATCAAAATGATAATTACTAAGAATTTACCTCATGACGTGGCTCGTCGACCGCATCGGAGCTTACAGCTGAACCTTCAAAGTACAGCCGAATAATGTTTCTACTCTTCTTCTTAATAGATATTGCTCCATGTTTTGTTCTTCTAATAGGAATGGTCCCTTCTGGGCATTCTCCTTTAGATTGCCAGATTTGGATGATCGGGTCAAAGTTATCGTTTGCTCCTTCTGGATAGTAGCTAGGTACCATCTATATAGACAATTGTAAATGACAAATGGGCTAAATTTTTATAAATTTAATTTCCAATTAGTCGCATCAGAGCTCCAATAAGATTTGTGTTATTAAACAAATATATCCAATCACCTTTTCCCAATCAATAATAATGGTTTTTTATAGTGTTCTATCATAATAATTATTCCTTATCGAAATAATTGTCTAATTTATATTTCCATTTTAAGTATAAGTTGTACTTATTTCATTTCGAAATCATTATCCAATTTAAATTCTTATTTTAGTTCAAATTGCACTGAACTAAAGATCTAAACTAATCAATAATTTTGGAACAAAAGTAATACTAAAATTGAAAATTTAAAGTAAGTAATCAGAAACAATGTTACACAAAGAATTATCGGGGGATACACTACCTTAATGGTGTGGTCTCTAAGCAACGGATGATCAAATGCTGGCTGATGATAAATATCCACACAGTCGATCACATCTCCGTCTTGGCCCTGCCATAAAGAAATCAGTAGTAAGACACACAATCTATCATGGACACCAATATCAAACATCCATAGTATCTATCCAAATCCTGGTAGCGTTAATTTGCTAAAAATGAACATGAAAAGAGTTATCAAAATTTTATGGACGGCCTTTATCATGAACCGTAAGAACAAACTATCAATGGCCGTATTCCCCCCGAGTTTATTTTTTAGGCACAGTTAAAGTTAGTCGTGCGGATCGACTTCAACAATTTCTACGTTATATTGTATGATAAAAACAAAATCAGTGAAATCGAGGAAATTGTAAAAACCCCAAGTTTCAATATAATGGGTTTACCTTAATGGACTTGAGAACAACATTGTCAGTTGCTGCTTGCCTCAACTCAACCTTTATAATGAGATTGATGAACAACAATATGACGTAAAACAGCAATCTCTTCAACTCCATATCTTCAAAAAAAAGGCAGGCCGATTTGCAAAATGATCACAACGAAAGCTTGAGTTAGAAGCAGGAGAAGAAGATAATCATTGAGATAGGCAAAATGGGAAGAAAGTATTGTAGTTGGTTTGTGTCAATTTCATGTTGGCGTCTCCTTAGAAGGTTTGAATTGGTCAGCAAATTTAGTTATCATGTAGGATTAAATTAACACTATTCTAAGCTGGTGGCTTTCTTTCTGAGTTAATTAATTCTAGTAATTAATTAAGAAAATATGAGTTCGCAACTCAAACATCAGGACTTCTCTAAAGCCGCCCCTTTCTTATTGGAGATGAAATTTTTAATTTCGAATTCTCCCCTACTTGAAATGATTGTCAAATTTAAATTATCACTTTACAAATTATATTAATTGAAAATGAAAAATCAAACTAAATAATGATTTTAGAAAAGGTAGTACTAATCAAGATGTCCAACTATTTTGATTTCAGGTCCGTAAATCAGCCAATTAAGGGTTAATTATATCCTTTTTGAGTACAATCATGTTCTTTGTCAATGAAAGTTTGTAACATTGTGTCCACAGTCTTTTGTTAAATTCCTGCTGATCGTTTTTTTTTTTAAATGCTGAACACTTAAATGATCCTTTTTCCATTGACTTACTGATTGAGTGAATGTCGTAAATTTGCTGCTAATTAATCGTGGAAAGTGACTACTTCACATATTATTCCTTCTTACGCCATCAAAAGTTAAACATTAATCTGATGAGATCGGTCCCTCTCAATTGAGATTTGATTTTTAAAATGTATAGTTGATTAACTGATTACAACGGTAGCGTTTTAGGTACAACATCTATTTAAAATAAGCCATATTTGCAGGTATAGTTGACCTGAGTGTTGGGTTGCCGTTGCTGTTTGGAATCGGCCACAATTCTTATTGGATAGGGAGATGCTGAGGAACTTGTTAAAATCACTTTTGAAAATGAAAATAAAAGAAAGACATTTATTTCGTATTGAATATTTTCCCATTGTCACGAAATGATTAACCACTTTGAATTTTCTTCAAAGAAAAACAACTGATCGTATAAGGTTTAGAGAGACAGTCTCTTCACTACTCATTTTTCCGTGTACCAGAATACTTTGTTCCTCTATTCCTAAATAAAAATCATATGTATCTTTGGAAGTATATTTTGATTATTTCCTCTTATCAACAAAAAATATCCATTTTGTTCAACTAAAGTAGTATAATAAAGTGGTTTATTATTTTGGTACAAAAAAAAAAAATTATTGAACGGCAATGCTGACCGAAAAGAAAATTTTTAAATAGGAGGAGGGTACTTATATCTTACTGCCTTTTGTTTGTTTCTTGCCGAAATTTCATGCTAAATTTCAAAAAGAATAATCCAGGATTAATTTGCCTCATTTCATAGAATTTCCTCGCATTAAGTTTCGTAATTCCATTTTACACACTAGAAATTTCTATGTGGTGAGAATCCGGTCGCACGACGATAATTTTTCCCTAAGTCTAGTTTCTACATTAAAAATATTATCAAAGGAAAATTAATTTGAACAAGTAAGTTTTATCCATTTTGCTTTAATCCAGAGTAAAACCGGTAATTTTCCGTGCAAAGTTTACTAGACATTCTGACATTTAAACCCGCCGATAAAAAATAAAAGGAGGCACATATTATTTTTATTATAAATGTGGGGTTAAAAGTTATATGGACGGGTTTGTTAAGAAAAATAAAAGGGTGCCGGAAAAATGAAAAATCGCAATCGGAAATGTTTTCATCGTCTAGCCTCTAAGTATGTTAATATCATCGACAACATTCCAAACAAAAACAATATGGTTTACCAAGAAACGTTCAAAACAAACATTAAATCGAGAACAGTAAATCCATTCTTTTTTCTTTATAATCTTCATTTAGTTCGTTTTTTATTTTGTGCTTTTCTTTTTTGAAAAAAAAAAACGAGATTCATAAAAGAAAATAATAGTATGTCAAAAAAAGCGCACAAGACCAACTCTCTGTGCATGCTCATTGTTCAGAATTCGCACGGTTTCCTCAACAAATAAATCAGTTTCTTGTTTATATCCATAATGTGAAAAAAGACAAAACAAAAAGATTGATTTATTAAAATTCCAGATAACAAGCAAGACATATATTATTGAGTGAAAATTCTGCTTAATTCTCTTTGAATCCTTAATGAACAGCAACCAGAAAAAAGCATAAATAACTATGAGTTTTGCAGGAAAAAACGAATACCATGTATACAATTTATTGCAGAAGACCCTTCAATATGTATCTGAAAACCCCATCCGAAGACTTATTCCAACTTATTGATTGAACAAGCACCGTTTGATCATCAAGCCTAATGAAAAAGCGATGTAAAAGTCATCAGAAAAATCACAGAAATGTCATAAACAAACATCTTAATATATTATACTGAATTCATATCAAAATTTAGTAAATAGATTCAAGGAAATAACAACACCTTCAAACACGAACTGACATAAATAAATATCTTCTGATTAGGCTGGGACGTTTGCTCATTAGATTGATAAAAGGGAACAAGAAGACAAAAATTTAAACCTGCTTTGTTGCGGACATCAACTGAGAAGTTGACGTTTAATTTTTTGTAGCTCCGCGATAATTTCCTTGATGTTGTATCTTTCTTCTGGAGATTCTTTGGTGCAATTTAGAGCTATTTTTATTACCAAATGCAAACTCTCCAACTTACCATTCAAGTTCACATCATTTTCACTAAGAAGATTTGCATCCAACGCCGCGGTTAATCCATTCGCCATTGAGTCACTCACCCAACTCCTGATGTTCAAGTTTCCACCAAACTTATCATCAGTAGGTTTTGTTCTCGTGAACATTTCCATTAAGATAATCCCGTAACTGTAAATATCACACTTTGTAGATACTAATCCTTCGGTTCCATATTCTGCGGACAATATATAACCACTAGGATTTAAATAAGTGAGGATATTTGAAACCGGACACAATCAAGGACAAGTTTTCAAACATGTTCGGTACTATAAGCCTCAGAATTGAGCAATGAGTCCCAATTTAAAGATAGGGCTCAACAAGCCCATATTTTCAACTCAACCTAATTAGCGCTCTTACACCTTACATAAAATATGGGCATATAACTACAAATAATTAGCGACGAGTGAAATGATCTAACAATAGAAACAATATAAGAAATGCCCGAATTTTATTACCTGGTGAAATATAACCGAATGTAGCAATCGTTTTGGTGTATATGATGCTGTCTTCTTGGCTCAAAAATTTTGAAATACCAAAATCACTAATATGTGCAACCATATCAAGGTCCAACAGTATATTGCTAGGTTTCAAATCGCAATGAACCACTGGCGTCAACTGTCCGTTATGAAGATAATCAAGTGCAACAGCTACATCAGTCACAACCGTTGTATAATGTTCAAGAGATAGTTGTGTGAATATAACCACTTTTCAAGACTGCCATTAGACATAAACACAAGAATTAGTGCCTTGAAATCTAGGTTTCAGCAACTGCTAATAACTTTTGTGAGATTCCTGTGGCGAACATTGCGTAATAGTTCACATTCTTGGTTGAAACTTCTAAATGCTCCTTGTATGTTTGTGTTGAACACTTTAACAGCAAGAATTCTCTCGTCATCCATAACAGCTTTCTAAACAGACCCAACACTGCCTTTTCCTAATAAATTGCTTTCATTGAATCCATTGGTTGCTCGTAATATATGATAATAACTAAATCTCTCCTTCGATGCTAGTCATCCTAATTCTCTCATTCCGGAAAGCAGCACTTTTCCTTTCCGTAAAATTTTAATGTAAGTGCATAGAAAACCAGTGACACCCGCAATCGCCGCTAAGCCAAGTACAATAAATAAAGCCTTATGTTTCTCTAGAGTTGAAGTCTTTTGACATTGAGGGACACAAAACCTTTTAGCTCCACAGAGTGCTTTGTTGAAGTTGAAAGATTCACATGTTAATTTTTTAAATGGACCATTTGCAGGAATTTCACCAATTAAACTATTAAAAGACACATTGAAGTACTGAAGCTTTTGCAGATTCTCCAATGTTTTTGGGATGGTTCCAGCGAGATTATTGTGAGACAAGTCCAATTTCTCCAAGTCTATTAGCTTGCCTACAGACTCTGGAATCGAACCTTGGAACTCATTGAAAGCTAAAGATAATTGGTTCAAGTTTTGTAAACTTCCAATGATGCTAGGAATGTAACTTGTGAGGTTATTGACTGACAAATCCAATAGTGATATAACATTCAAAAGCCCTATTTCAAGGGGTAAAACGCCACTCAGAAAGTTTCTTGATATGTTGAACTTCTCGAGATCTTTAAGGTTGAATAATGTTGCAGGGATTGTGTAATTCAATCTGTTTGAATCTAAATAAAGAAACCTCATAGAAGTTATATTGCCCAAACAATCGGGGATTGACTCCTAGATTTTGTTTTCACTTAACAATAAATGCTCTAATTTCTGCAAGCCACAAACTTTATCAAGCACGGGCAAATCTAGTTCATTATTGCCAAGGTATAAACCTTGAAGATTCTGTAGTCCTTTAATTGTTTCAGGTATGCTTCCTTCCATCTGGTTATCCGTTACGTCTAATCGAATTAAACCACTTAAGTTACCAAATTCTTTTGGAATCTTCCCCTGCAGGCTACAATTGTTTGCAGTAAAAAGTTCTAGGGTAGTTGAAAGATTCCCAATCACTTGGGAAATATAACCATTTAGTGGATTGTCATTGATCTTTAGAACTCTCAAACGCTTACATTTTGATAGGGTTTTCAGGAAGTTAATTTCCGAAGATTCAGAGTTCAGCGTAAAACTATTTTTATGCATACTCAAAATTTCAACGAGTCTAAGATTCCCAAAAGTGTCGGGAATAGAACCCGAAAATCTGTTATATGGCAACTCTAGTAATATGAGATTAGAGCAATTTGAAATTGACTTCGGTAGAGTTCCATCAAGGTTATTCGTATGAAAAACAAGATATTGCATTTGAGAATATTCATCACATATTTTTGAGGGAAGATTTCCATATAGACCATTGCAAGCCAAATTTATCACAAGCATGGATGAGAGGTTAAAAATATCTGCTGGTATGAAACCTGAAAAAGAAATTATTTCACCGTAAAAATAAAAAATACATGAATTAATGCTTTATAAAGGAATACTTTTGGCTACTTTAATTATATTTAAAACGACTTCAAATGAAAAAACAATTATTGATTATACCAAAATTAACTAGAAAAAAAAAGTTTAGTAATTATGAGAACTGCCTACAATTTACTAATTAGAACCAAAATTTGTCTCAAAAGGAACTATACCGCCACAATTTTATAATTCCCATAGATAGTAGTAATGAGAAATATATTAACAATAACTATAATTGTTAATAATATTGCGCTTTTTTTTTTCCACCCATAATCGCACTTTTTATGTATTATTTGCTAACATTATGAGCTCAAAATAGTTAAGAGTACTGCATGTGCGTATTTCCTTGTGTGACATAGCCTTGATGCACGGTAGGTGAATTGTAGCAAAACAAGGCAAAAATAACTAAATAAAATAATAAGTCAAACGCTATGACAATTAGATCTACACATGCATTACTTGTCTCTATTACTTTGATGCCAAGAAAGATTTCTCATTGTCTTTAGCGAAGAAAGTTCAACATAGAATTTTATCAACTTTCACTATTTCCTCCCGGTCGGATAATGAAGACTACAAGCAAGATTGGTCCATTAAGATAATAGCTTTGAAATCTTTTAGATGGAACATGGAAATGGCATAAAGAGGTGTTAAGGAAATGAATAAGCTTGTATGACCCCTATCAATATTACCAGAAAAGGTGCGTCACTGTCTCAAGAAAAACAATCCCTTAATTAAGACATTCTGTGTAATACAGTAATGTGCCACTGTAGCTTTTCTGCAACCCCTTTTAAAGTAACAGTGCCACTTTTTTGTCCTATAACAGGTCTAATATCTTAAAATTCAATGGAAGCATGGTGACCACTCATTGACACTAATTTGGTAAGTTCAGAATATTTAATTTGTACATTCAAAATTTTTATTCAGACTCTTTTACTGCATTTGACGTTTATGTGGCTTGGCACTAATGTTTGTTGACAATCATATGAAAATAGATTTAGATGATACCATTAATTCATGTTCTCGTATTCATTTTATTTTGCAGATCAATGTCCATTACATTTATCAACTTTTATCGTAGAAGGAAGATCTACTAGCGAGAGTTTCTTAGAGAAAGTTTCAGATTGTTTAAAATATAGATATCTAATTGACTTTTGGTCTATTAATGTTTTTCTAGTTTAGTTGTATTAAACTGTTGAGATTTGTAAGTTTAAACAATTTGTAATGTCAATTATATTTGTACATGATAAATTATTTCATGGTATGGATTGATTTTTTTTATTAAAGTTTTGAGTGGTAATTCGGTAATAATTGTTAATGTTGAATGCTTTTTAAAGTAATCAGGAACATGAATATAGAAAGGCAAATGTACTACCACCATTTTATAATATAAGTCTAGTTTCTATTTTGGGTTATGTCAAAATATAAGTCCACTTTGTATCTCAATACATAATTTTCTTTATTTTGTCGAAAAATTATCCTTGTCTTTATATTGGTATTTGTTGAATTCTAATGTGTACTACCACTTTATTTGAGGTAGGATTAAAGGATTCACATAAGAATTTGGAAAAAGGGTTTTTGAGTTAAGTAGTTGGTTTTAGTAATTAGGGGTAAATTGGAACTTTCATATTTGGTAATCATTAACTTAATCCTTATGCCACTCAAAGTAATTAAACTTATATTATGAAAAAAAAGGTAATAATTGTTAATAATTAATTAATTAAACACCAAAATATAGTGACTCATGACATCATAAACTGTAAACAATTCTGCTTAAAAAAAGAAAACTGTAAAAAGTAAATTAGCTACATTGACACAAGGTTGTATATACATTTATATTATGTTCCACACTTTCAATTAAAACCATAAAAGTTTAATGTCACTATACACCTATTATTAAGGCATTATAAAGTGTCTTTACATACGGGTTTTCTTGTAGTGTATAAATATGTCATTTGGAGGTGACGATTCATATGAGTTGTTACTATTTATGTTTTCTAGGCTATTTTTTTATTTAAGGAGAAATGGGTTGTTAAACGAAAATTCTTGGTTAGGTGCCCTAACTGTTAGAGAAGTGTATTTTTTAACTTGGATTTTGAAGTAGTAGATGTGTGTCTCGTCTTCCTCGGTGAACACTATTTTTATTTTCTTTTGGTTTTCATGGATTTTGTTTACCTTATTTCCTTGTTTTATTTGTTTTGCTTCGTGTAGCTAGACTCCTAACTAATGCTACGAGATGGGTTTGCGGTCAATCATGTGTGAATCTATGGATTAAAATGTTTTTCGGTTGATTTCTTTGTGATTCTATGTGATTCTTTAAAAGTAGACGACCTTTTAAGAAATCATTTGACGTGTTGGGCACAATGTACAAGTTTTATTTGTTTGGTATTAGGTTAACCACTTTGGATTAGCAGTTGGATGTTTACAATAACCACTTATGTCGCCATAGTTATCCCGCGCCAAAGTATAAGATCAGATAACAAAATAAGATCAAACATGTTAACCAGAAAAAAATGAAGGAAAAAAAAATTTTGAACAATCTCATAATATAAGTGACAAATATAAATCCAACGTACCTTGAAGATTAGAATTATGATCAAGATAAAGTATTTCAAGTGCCTTCAAATTTCCAAGTTCTTTTGGTATGTGCCCAATAAAGTTGTTCATTGACAAGCCGAGCATTTGAAGTTCAGAACAATTAGATAGACCTGATGGTTTTTCACCATTTAAGTTGTTTCCTTCTAGGCTAAGCCACTTGAGTCTCTCAAGACGATCGCAGATGGACATTGGTAAAGTACCCGACAGGCTGTTACTCTTCATAGCAATTCTTTCCGATGTTGAAATATTGAACAATTCATAAGGAATTGGACCTGTAATATGGTTGAACTCACACTCCAATTCCTTCATATTATAAAGGCTACCCAAACCTTGCGGGAGACTCCCTTGAAGAGAATTGTTTGTAAGTGATAATTTCTCGATTTTGGATAGATTAGTAAAACAATTTGGGATAAAACCCATAAAACTATTATTACTAAGATCCAAAACTTGAAGCTCATTTAAGGAATCAATCCATGAGGGAATTTCGCCGCTGAGAAAGTTAGTGTTGAAATGAAGCCTTTTCAAAAGTCGCAAAATGGGATAAATCATTTGGCATTTCTCCGACAAAGTTATTGCAAGAGATATCGAGCGAGAAGACAAAGGACAGATTGACCAACTCCGGAGCTATGGTGCCAGAAAGACCCATACCCGAAACATCCAAGCCCGTCACCCTAAGATGGCGACGAGAACCACAAATGACTCCAATCCATGAACAAACTGATGAGTCAACGGAATCAGGATGAAAAGACCAATTTCTTGAGATGATTCCGAGAGGATCTGATGAAATTTTGTTTTTGAAGGCCAGAAGAGCATATCCATCAGTGGTTATGTTCACCCTCGCTAAACAAGTGATGATCAGTAGGGAACTTAGGAACAAATATCCAAAAGGGAAAATGAGGAATTTTTTACTTATAAGGGTATGAAAACCCTACTTCTCGACACAAAAGGCCACATGAAGGCTGCTGTGGAAGCAGATACCTTCCTGCAAAACAGATATGTGGTTTTCACACAAAACCACGTATAAGGAATGCGGAAATACAAAATAACCGCATCAACACATTGCGGTAGTAAATATATCCACATAACAAGAATGCGGTTTTGTTAAACCACAAACCGCAGACGGGGTTGTCTTTGAAACATTAATTAAAATAAAATAATTAATTATCGTTTAACTCTACTAAATTTGAATAAATAAATAAACCGCATACGAGGTATGCGGAAATATATAACTAGTTGATAAAATAATAAATTAATTTATCCGTATTATTGATTTATCGAATGAATAAAATGTACCTGAGCTCCAGCCTCATACTACTAAGTCTGATCTCTAGCCTAGTCCTCAAAACAATGCTGCCCCACAGCAATATCAAACCCAGAACCCAAAAACAAGTGGCTCTGGAACTGAAACGCCTCCTGCGAAAGTTGAACCTGATCTGACATGCAAGAAGCAAGAAATTGATCACCAAAATCCAGTTGAGTCTGGTGCTGTGGTGACAAAGCAGGACGGTATGGCATCTGATTTTCCTCAAAAATAGGACGATACGGGCTAGCTCTGGTGGGGCTTTGATGATGACCCGGCCTGCTACTTGGGCTGTGATGATGACCCACCCTGATCCTGAGTGTACCTAAGTTTGGGCTGCCTCCCACCTCTCCGGACTCCTTCCCTAGGAGGCGCACGCTGACGAATCATAGGTGGCTGATATTCCTGAGTTGGATCTGCATTGACAAAAATCTGACTCTCACTTTCGCTCGGGAGTACCCAACATTGGGTCCTCTATAATGACAAGGCTCGATCAGCACTTTTTTCGATCTGGTTGAACATTATATAAGCAGAAGACTTAGGATCGGTGCAATCACCCATGCCAAGGAGACTCATCCTCTTAATATCAGCAAGTAAATTGGCCTGCACATTTATACCAAAATATAAAATCATAGATATAAAAAAAAAGTTATAACAAAAAAAAGTAAGAGGAAACAAAGTAAGAACACTCACCATAACGTGATACACCTCTGCCGCTCCCTGGAAACCCTCTGTATGCCTTTTTCTAGGGTCCATAACAAATGCCACAATCTTGAGCTGGTACCATGGAAAGTACCCGACATCTGTCGCGGGGAAGCCAATGCAATCATCAGAGCTCCCAACAATGTGACTAGCTCTATCTTCCCAAACACGGACATAGTCCTTGTGAAAATCTTTCCAATCCCTTGTCTTGCCATACCGCCCTATCTTGTGCAGATTCAGTAAGGGTTCTTTCGCCATAAGCAAATTACCATCGGGTATGCCCTGTTGGAACCCAAGTTGTCTCATAACCCGACCAGGAATTTGTGCCTTAACGACATTAAAAAAGATCAGATAGGTCTCCGAACTCCAGAGTTCATGGCCGGCAAGGCAAGATGGATGAATACTATAGAAAACAGTGGGCGAATACGGCAACCACACGAACTAAAATATGACAAATGTTTTGTTACAAAAAATAGATTAACAGAAAAATGTTCAGATTACAAAACACTTTTTTATATAAAAAAATAATAATAATAATAACAAGGAACACTTATATGGTACGAATGTATACTTCCGACTCCTAAAGAACAGCAAACTGATCCCTATAGGCAAGCAGATTATTTCTCGTGATATTCTTGACAACTGATAATGTTAATATTAGCATGATATTTGTGGTGGTTTATGTGTTGTTTGGAATATTATCTATGCTAATATTAGTATTTTGGTTCTTAATTTGATTATAGGAAGGATTTTTAACGAAAAGAAGAAAAGTGTTGATTTTGAAGAGATTTTGAAGGTTTTATTGAATCAAATTTCTAGTTGGAGAAGAAGTGATTGATTCCCGCGTGGGCACACAAAATCCATGTCAAAATCAATGAAGGAAGCAGGAAAGTCCAGAAACGATGTTGTATTCCCACGTGGGCATGCTGATACAGGAACTAAAGTTTAAAATTTCTAAAGTTTTAAGGTCAATTTGTAATTTTGGCAAACTTCAGGGGCCAATTTGCAAATTCTGAAAAATTTAATTGGTTGCTGCGATTTCTGAACGGGCTGAACGTGGGGATGCCCTAAATTTGCTTACAAATAGTCTTTTTCTTATTATTAAGAAAGAGAGGAGAAGAGGCACAACACAGGGAGCGACGGCTGGAGCTCAGGACAAGGATTTCTCTCCGTTTTCATCAGTTTTAACTCTGTAACGTCAAACATCTATTCTTGTGTTGTTGATTTCACCATGATTAGCAACTAAACCTCTTTTCTAGTTAAAGGATTTTATTGAAATCTTGATGTTATTCAATTGTGAGATCTAACTGTTTGCTTTTCACCAACGAATTTTGAGTATTTATTTATTCTCTTTGATGTGTATTGATGATTATTTGGTATTATTTGTATAGCTGGTAGCATTCAATTCTCCTAGATAATCTAATTTGTTAAACAACAAGGTTTGTTTGTTCCTTAGAAGAGACAATGCAAATAATTACTTGGTAAGTAGTTTACTTGTGTTGTGAGAATAAATAATCAATTTTTAATGAAACAAGGTTTGTTTGTTAGAAATTGAGTTGGGTCTTTGTTTGTCGAAAACTGAATCCTAGGAGGTTCCAGGTAGTGTTTTTGGCTATAGAGTGATTAATGAAGGTTTCTTAGTCACTGGTAGTTAAATAAAAAGACTGAGTTGTTAGGAGGTTCCAACGACGATAACTAATATATTCATCATTTGTTGAGTTAATCTTTGCATCAATGATCAGTTGAATACATCAAGATGGAAATTATTCCTTTGACAAGAGTTGCTCTTATTATTGATTTTCCAAAAGTATCTTTTATTGCTTGCTAATTATTTTTGTTATTCATTAGTTATAATCCAAAAATCTCTCCCATTTAGTTACTTTGCTTTTGATTAGAAATATTTTCACTTCCTTGCCCCCTGAGGAGACGACTCTACTCATTGCTATACTACTAAATTTGTTAGGAATAGAATCTTTTATTTTTGTTAGTTTGACATCCACCAAATTTTGGCGCCGTTGCCGGGGAGCACGGTCTAGAGTGATTTATTTCTTGTTAAAAGTTGTTTTTATTTTTATTTTTATTTTTATTCGATTTTATGATGCGTTCTGATAATACAGAGAGATTATTGTTTGATCCTGAGATAGAAAAGACAGCTAAACAGAACCGAAAGGAAAAGAGTCCAAGAGATTTACTTCTTAGTGCTACACCTGAATCTCAAGAGGACGATAGCCAAGAAGAAGAAGAAAAAGAAGAAGTTACAAGCTCTGAGAAAGGGTAAGAATTTGAAGAAGAAAGTATGCGTGACAGAACTCTGAGGGAGCTTGCGACTCCAGATATGAACTTACGAACATTCTGCATAACCATGCCTGCAAATACTCCACGTTTTGAGCTAAAACCAGATACACTTCAATTATTACCTAAATTTCGTGGTTTTGCAGGTGAGGATCCTCACTGAAGAGCAAATTCAGCTACGTGCTTTTCCATTCTCTTTGGAAGACAAAGCCAAGCGCTGGTTATATGGTTTACCTGCTGGTTCAATCACATTAGGGAACCAGTTGAAGAAGAATTTTTTGGAGAAATTCTTTCCAGCATATCGTGCAGCAAATATTCGGAAAGATATCTATGGAATCCGACAACTCCATGGAGAAACATTGTACGAATACTTGGAAAGATTCGGAGAGTTATGTAGGAGTTGTCCTCAACATCAAATCCCTGAACAATTACTACTTCAATATTTCTATGAGGGGCTATTAGAGGTGGATCGAGACAAGTTAGATTCAGCCAGCGGAGGAGCTTTAATGAATAAAACACCAGCACAAGCTACCGACTTGATTTCAACCATGGCTGAAACTACTCAGCAGTTTAATAAAAGAGCAGAAACAGCTACCAGACATGTCAATGAGGTAAGTATTTTAAATTTAGAAAATCAAATATCTGATTTAACCTCTTTGGTTCGTCAAATGGCTGTAGGGCAAGTACAAACTGTCAAGGCTTGTGGCATTTGCTCAAATTCTGGGCACTTTACTGATTCATGCCCCAAGTTACAAGATGATCCCAACGAGCAAGTTAATGCTATGGGTGGGTTTCCATGACAAGGACAGAGGAGGTATGATCCCTATTCGAATACTTACAATCTAGGATGGAGGGATCATCCAAACTTCAGCTACAAACAGTCAAACTTCCAGCAACAATCACAACCTATCATGAGAAATTCTGCACCAACACCACCTCTGAATCAATCATCATCATCTACGTCAGGTATGTCTTTAGAGGAAATGGTAAGAAGTTTAGCAACTAATGTGCATGGTCTTACACAGGCTTCACAATCTTCTCAAGCTAGCATACAGAACTTGGAGAAACAAATTTCTCAAATGGCCACCTCATTACAAAAATTAGAGGCTAACACAGGAAGGCTTCCTTCCCAACCAGAAGTTAATCCCAAAGAAAATGTTAGTGCAATGACGCTGAGAAGTGGGAAAGAGCTTCAAGGTCCTAAGATACAAGATGGAGTATCTGAAGAAATTTCACAAGAAGTTGGGAAGGATTTAGACACCACCCCACTACCACAAAAAGAGGTAAGTTCTGAGCATGTTAAATCTTAACCAGAAATAGTGATTTCTCCACCTTTTCCTTGCAGGTTAGCAAAAGCGAAGAAGGAGGAAAGTGAGAAGGATATTTTGGAGATTTTCGAAAGGTTGCAATTAATATTCCATTGTTGGATGCAATTGGTCAAATTCCACGTAATGCCAAATTTCTTAAATCATTGTTTTCTAAGAAAAGGAAGCCTGAAGGTAAGATCTTTGTGAGTGAAAATGTTTCTTCAGTTATCCAAAGAAAGTTGCCTCAAAAGTGCTCCGATCCAGGTATGTTTGCTATTTCTTGTGTGATTGGGTCGAGAATGATTAAATCAGCTATGCTTGACTTAGGAGCTTCCATAAATGTGATGTCCTTGTCCCTTTTTAATGAATTAAACATTGGGTCTCTTAAGAACACCGATGTGATAATTCAATTGGCTAACAGATCTGTAATATATCCAGAAGGGGTAGTTGAAGATGTTTTGGTTAAATGTGACAAACTTGTTTTTCCTGCTGATTTTTATATACTTGACATGAGTGATGAGCATGTTTCTAAATCTGAACTCCTTTTATTGGGTAGATCATTCATGAAAATAGCTAAAAACAAAGATTGATGTGGACTCTGGTACTTTTACTTTTGAATTTGATGGTGACAAAGTTACTTTCAATATGTTTGATGCTATGAAGTATCCAAATGATTTTGAATCTTTTACTAGTGTTAGCATGATTGATACATTAGTCCAAGAGGATTTTGAGCATAATTTTGTGAATGATGAGTTGGATTTTGTTCTTAAGCATAACATACAACAAAAGGACATTTGTTTTGAAGTGAATGAGGGAATCATAGAATCACTTATGGAACTTTGTGCACTACAGGAAGTACCTTCCAGGTTAGTTAACCAAGGCTTTGATTTGCTGCTGAATTATGATAGAATTATACCTTCTGTTGAGCAGGCACCAAAACTTGAATTGAAGACATTGCCAAATCATCTCAAATATGTTTACTTGGGAGAAGATGAGACTTTGCCTGTAATCATTGCCAATGACTTAACAGAGATTCAAGAAGAGAAGTTGCTGCGGGTTTTGAAGCATTACAAGACAGCCATAGGATGGACCTTGCTCGATATTAAGGGAATCAGCCCGTCAATTTGCATGCATCGCATTTTGCTAGAGCAAGATTCAAAACCAGTAAGAGATGCTTAACGCAAATTGAATCCTGCTATGAAAGAGACAGGTTGGCGTATGTGTATTGATTTTCATAAGTTAAATGCAGCCACAAGGAAAGATCATTCCCACTACCATTCATTGATCAAATGTTAGAGCGGTTAGCAGGTAAAGCTTTCTTTTGTTTCTTGGATGGATACTCTGGGTATCACCAGATTGTGGTAGCTCCAGAGGACCAGGAAAAGACAACTTTTACTTGCCCTTTTGGTACTTTTGCTTACCGTCGCATGCCTTTTGGTTTGTGTAATGCCCCTGGAACTTTTCAAAGATGCATGATGAGCATATTTTCTTATTACATTGAAAACTGCATTGAAATTTTCACGGATGACTTTACTGTCTATGGTGACTCATTTGATCAATCCTTGGATAATTTGTCTAAGTTCTTGAAAGATGCATTGACAAAAATTTGGTTCTTAATTATGAAAAATGTCACTTCATAATAAAGGAGGGAATTGTTTTGGGTCATTTAGTGTCATCTAGAGGAATAGAAGTAGATAAGGCAAAAGT